CTGACTGATATTAAGAGTGTACTTTCAGATATTTAAAAAGCTGTACCATTTTACAAACATTATATATGTTTGTAAAATGGTACATATTTATGAATATAGTATAATATAGTATTTCTGTCTGGCGAGTAAACAAAAAAATATCATAGCCAACTGCGATTCAATTGCCAAGGTCCGTTGAGGGTAGACTGTATAAAAACAGTTCGTGCTGCACTGTATTTGTTTTGTCCTATCTTATCTATCATATGTTGTTTCCTTATTAAAAAATATGCTATAGATTTAAAAGAAATGTATTTTAATGTATTCCACTGACCTAGTTTATGATACATTTTTGTCATAGATTATAAATATACATAGGCCTATATTTTTTCATATTTATTGTCGGATCGGTATCTGTATCGGCCAATACCGAACCCTAGATATCGGAGGCGAAAAAGGCGGATCGGAGCATCTCTAGACTGGACTATTGTAATGCACTGCTAGGTGGTTGTCCTGCATCTTCAATAAACAAGCTAGAGGTAGTCCAAAATGCAGCGGCTAGAGTCCTTACCAGGTCAAGAAAATATGATCATATTACCCCAATTTTACAGTCTAAAGTTGCTTTGCAACGATTTGTATCGTGAAAAGCGCTATACAAATAAACTTGAATTGAATTTTATATTAGGCCTATAGCATGGTGTATTTGTATTCATTTTGTATTCTATGTTTAATGTAAGTGAGTTTGTCATACGGTTTTGTTGTTGTCAATTCAATTTAGTTCGAAAGTGAAAGTAAAATGCGCACAAGCATTTACAAGCTATGTAAAAGCAAAAAGCGAGGAAAAGAGGGAAAACTCCTAACGAACTACCTCACCCTCACAACCTGGAGTACATTATATTTCACTCACTTTAAGCTATTTTTTTCCCCCAAATGTAATAGGATTACTCCAACGAATAAAAATAAAGAAAATAAAAAAAATAATAACAGAAAGAGATCAGTCCTGTCTGTTGTTTATTAATTCAAGCGATGACATTCTACATTACCAATGCACACTGCAGTTATATCATCAGCCACATTACATGCGCAAGCTTTTTAAAGTGAATTTTGATTGGCTGTCAGTGTCTTTATCCTTCATCAGCTGAAACCAAAACCGTATCGTTCCACATTGTCAATATTGCTATAGTTGTGGTGCGGATTTTCCTATTCTCACTGAATCAGAATTTTCCTATTCTCACTGAATCAGAATGACTCTTTTTTTGAAACTAGCAGTGTATTTTAATATCAGAAGAGCAGGACATTTATCTTTGACACTGTGCTTTTGGGGAAACTGAGTATGAAATTGGCTTTACAAACGTCATGTCATGTCTTGTCTAATCCAGCACAAGCCATGTTGAAATTGAAAGTGATGAGAAAAAAAAAATATTGGACACTTCAAAAATGCAATGTGACCAGTAATGTCTGATTTGTGAATACATGATGACTCTTAGTGGTAACATTTTCCATTATCTAGCAAATTTGTCAATTCAACATGCTTTCCGTCAAGTTGACAGAAAGAAAAATAAAGTATCTGGTATGTTCGTTACGGAATGCTATCAAAGTATGGTTGTAACGATGAGGAAATTTTCCCACCTGTTAATTGTGTGACAACCGTGTATCACCGTGTGTGTGCGCTTGTAAATGCAGCATGCACATTTTACTTTCACTTTCGAATTAGCAGGAATTCGGCATCAAGCAATTGTTCATTTTTAGTTCGTTTGAGTTTTTCATCTTTTCCTAAATTCTCTTCGCTTTTAAATAGCTTAAAAGTGTCGTGAGCATTTTACATTTACTTTCGAATTAGCAGCAATTCGGCATCAACAACAAAATACAACGTCAAACTCACTTAGCCTATATATAAATCATAGAAATTTTAATAACAAAACGAATAAAAATACACCATGCAATAGGATATGCCTACTATAAAATAGTATAACTTACACAAAGTTTAAATAGTTATATAAAACTGAAAATAAGTAAACACTGTGGAACCAAATAAATAAGAAACGTAGAACGTTCATTAGCAAAACTAATATGAAAGCTTGGAGGCACGGCATTCACCTTGATGTCAAATAAAATAAATTCATTACACAAAGTTTAAATAAAGTAAAAATCAGCAAACACTGTGGAACCAATTAAATAAGAAACAAATGTTTAAAAAACTTCCAAAATCACCTCACAACTGGCTTTTCAAAATCCAAAATATTGCCAAACAGGCGCTTTTGCCTTTCGTTTCGAAACTAAATCATCAGCTATCATCTTGTCTGTCTCACCCCACTCTTCTTAATATACAAAATATTAAAAGCCCTGCAAAAAATAAACTGGCAGGGACGCACAGAGAAGGATATCAAAACAACAGATTCTAAGTGTAGCACAATAGAATAAGTTGTGAGGTATTACTAAATTTGTAGAAAATCAAGTGACCAGATTGCAAAACAGACAGCAGGATCTTTTTTGTGTGAGTGTGCATGTGTATTTATTTTGTGTTTCACTTCACATTACTAGAGATGAATTTAAAAATCCAAATACTAAAATACAAAACTTGATATTGAGACGCTCAACTCTAGTTCACCCAAAAATGAAAATTAGACCATGATTTACTCACCCTCAAGACATCCTAAGTGTATATGACTTTCTTCTTTCAGACCAATACAATTGGAGTTATATAAAAAAAAAAAAAAAAAAACGACTTAGCTCTTTCAAGTTTTATAATGGCAGTGAATGGTGGTCGAGATTTTGAAGCAAAATAAAGTGCATAAATATTTTTTTAAATAACGTCGATTGTATTGGTCTGAAAGAAGAAAGTAATATAAATCTAGGATGACTTGAGGGTGAGTAAATAATGGGGTAATTTTTATTTTTGGGTGAAATATCCCTTTAAGTTCTTATATAGAGCTTGTGGCAAATAAAAAACTCCACCATTACAATGTTTCAAGTTTGTTACCAATGAGATGATTTAAACTTTGATTTTTCCAATCACTTCTGAATTAGCAAAAAAACACTAAACTTTCCTCACACCCACCTGTCAGATTTTAGTTCTTTAAATATCCTTTGCTGTAAAATGTAAAATGAGGGACTGTAGGCTAATTCTAACTCAATCATTATTTAAATCAGCACCCACTGAACTCCAAATCATTAGCCAAAATCTGACTCATAACAAATGAACAATCATTACTATCCTCTACACACTTAAAATTACAGATTGCTCATGTGACAATCCTTGCATCCAATTTGGTGTACTCTCATAGAATATGCTACATTTGATGAAGAGCTTATTTTATGACCATTAATATGACTACCATCCAAAAAAACACCAGAATGGCACTGTCATGTGATGTACAACGTCAGCCACGCTGTGCTACTGTTTGTACAGCTAGGCTACTTTGCATGTGTGCATTCCCATGTCCTATGTAAGCTAGCATGTAAAACCCTGATTTAAAAACACTGCTTCCTTTCAAAGTGAAATCTGTGAAAGTGAAATGAGCTCTTACCTGTGCCATGGGTGGCACTCCCATCGGGGGTATCATGGGGGGCATTATTCCCGGGGGCATGGGGGCCATGCTGGGCGGCCTCTGGCCCATGGGTGGCATTCCCATTGGAGGGAAGTGAGGCGGGATTCCTGGTGGCCCCATCTTTGAAACACACAAAAATAAATTCAAGGCATGAATGAGAATGAACACAACCAAGCAGTCGCAAAGACAGAGAGAGATGGCTTTACAGTAAAGGCTTTCCAACAGCAACTTACAAAGCGCAGGGGGATTCCTGAAGGTGGGGGGACACCAGGAAAAGGTGGTGCTTGACTGGGGCCACTATTAGCATCAGTCGAGGACTGTTATGAACAAGAGAGTCCATTACAGTCACCACTACAGCTCGGATAAATATGCTGCACATCACTGGCTTGAAGTGTGATGAGGTTTTCCCAAAAATTATCTAATCTGACAGAGCCAACCAACACATCCAAGCTTATGTGAGCAGAGCTATCACTGCCAGACGTTTCCTAAATATTTCACTCAAAGCAACTAGCATAACTTAAAGCTTATTAGTATACATACTTCAAATGTATAACAAACCAGAGATTTCTTACCATCTTACTGCCCTTAACAAATCAAGTATGTAAAAACTCAATCAACTATCACTCAGACTCCACTGTTTTATCATAGCTTTATCAGAGTTTGACAAATCAAGAGTTCCGTCTCACCTTCATCAGGAATAGATGGACTATGAGTCGCCGATTATCAATAAAAACACAGTTTATCAATCAGTGTGATGGAGTTTAGGCTATATCCTCTAGCCTAACACAGTAACATCAACAGCGCAAACAGATAATCATAAACAAACTGCTTACAAGCATAAATGTTTCACACAATCAGATATGTAACACGTCTAACACACGTGCTTTAATAATCACAATAATAAATCCAAACTCTCATTCAAAAACTCGGTAGCTTTAGCTTTAGCATCAGTCACTCATTCACATTAGCTTACATGCTAACCAACATTTATTTTGTCTGTAATATGCCCATTTATTAACTACACGTCTTTAACCCAAGCGAATAAACCGTTCAGTGTGTATATGTGTCGTTTGTAAATGCTAGAATACGCCAGTTTTGAGTTTATGTGAATAAACTGTCTGTTTTTTTTGGACTCACCATGATGAGCGAACATGCAGCGGCCCTGCGCGAGACAAAAACCTACGCTCTGATTGGCTGCGGCGCGCCGGGTTCAAACGACAGCAGGCGTGTTTCAAGTGCAACAACACTGCGTAGGAAGTGCGCATGCACTGGTTCGAAGCGCAGGAAACAAAAACACTGGAGAGCTGCGCACGAAATACGCAAATCTGAGGCCAACAAGTGACATTTAGCCAGCAATGAGCTGCAATGTTAACTTTGTGATAAACAACAGAGGAGAAATGCCGTAAATAGGCAATAAAAACAGATGACTTAATTCAATATTATTAAACATTCTACGAAATAGTATGATTATAAATATAATTAATGAAATTGTTCCTACCTATTTCAATACCTTATGCAGTGAAAGTCCTTGAATTTATATTCTGTGATAACGATGCAATATTTACAATAAATCAATACAAAACATTTTATTTAAAATAATTTCAATTTATTATACAATATGCATGTATTTAACCCATACATTCTAATGTCCACAACAGAATGGCGTCCTAGTAGTGGCACTGCATAGACTGCACATTTTAAAAATATTGTGTTGTTGTTCTTTGAATTAAAAAAACTGCACATTTTAAATGCACATATGTCTGGTAAAAGACAGCTGTGTCAGCATTAAGGAGTTAGCTAGCAGGGATGATGCAGTTTTGTAGGCCAAAACCTGGAAATGAGTTAGTATTTTAGCATTTACAGTTCCATCGTCCTGAAGTCAATGGGATTTTTGAGTGGGTTTTAAGGTAATAAAGTTTTACATGTTTTGAAAAGGGCGGTTGCTAACAAGTGGCTAAATGGTACTATACAGGTTTCCGGGGACATTTAATTAAACGTCATCAAACCAAACAGATAAACTCATCCACACACGTCGCTTTCATAGCCTCATTGTGTTTATAATTGCGCTCACTCTTGCTGATAACAAAAAAAAAGTGTCATGGAAGTTTTAAATAAAGTTTTTTTTTTTTAAATGAAGACTGAAAGGGTTATCAGAAACTTGGTGAAGTTGAAGTCATGCGTCATTTCCTTATAGCTTACATTTCGCTTATTACTTCTGCCAAGCAAGGCTTCAAAATTCAAAAGGTTGTGTTCATTTGTAAAGATTTTCGTAATGAAATGTGTAAGAAAACCAAACATGTAAGAATCATAAACTTTTGTTGGTCACATATTTTCAGCAATAATCCAACAGCCAATGAAAAAAAAAGCTGATGGAAACCAGGCTGATGTTAACTTTTGGGCTGGCCTAAAAATATGTCATCACTACAGCACTCTATATAGATGACCTGAAAGCAAATAGACCTGACTAGAGGCCAAAAAAAAAAAAGATTTTACAAGGTCTTTGGCTTGCAGTTGTAAAAAACTGTTTTTCTGTAAATCATATGCTTTATCCTGAACTGAAATAGATTTGACTGATGAGACTGAACCACTGAAGTCTGATTCTTCCATACATCCTTCATTATTATGAATTATAAACAAATAATAGGCTGATTTCACTGTTCTAATCCATCATACTCTTAAGCTATTTATTCTCTGGATGACAGTAATTGCCAAAACCATGTAAGCTGTGAGTTACTGAAGATGTATTTGACCTTTTATTAACTAATAGCTTGTACAGCAAGCCTAAATGCAGAACATTTCATTGTACATTTATGAATAAGTTAAATAATAATAATTGTCAATTAAGGATCACATTATGCAGAGACCTTTAATAAATGCTAATACACAAATGTCACTGATCAGCAATAAACCTTAGAGAGCTACTGACATTTCGCTCGGTCATTAATAGGAGCTCACTTAAATTTGAGATGCATTAAGGCTACAAACAGAGTGAGTCATGAGGAATATTTCACAAGTAAAACTTTGGCAGGATAAGGGGCTGAAATCAATGCAGCCGCCCAGCGTGCTCAGGAAACAGTCGTCTCTGTGACACATGCTCTATTTCTAAACTCTCAGCAGGTAGTCAGGGAACTCGGTCTGTCGTCTCAGCACCATGGTCATCCGTCATGCTGCTTTAATTGGCCGCTTGTTCCCATTTACCGTAACATTTATTTTCCCGAGCCCGGGGGAGGAAGATGCAATTTTGAGACTGAAACATGTTAGACCCTGATAAAAGCCCATGTGACTCATAGTTTATGAAATAATTCACCTGTGTCTGAGCAGAGAATATTTGATCGGCCTGTCATTCTGGATGCTGAGACAGTATGTTTGTTGTGCAGCATTCACATGACACTGGGAGAAAAAGAAAGATTAAAAATATTACAAAGAAATGGCAAGTAACACATTGAATTAAACGTGAAATTTTGAATTTGAAAAACTATGTACACCAATCATCTTTTTATTTACTGTTTCAAAAATGATTTTTTTGTTGTTTTGTTTTGTTTTTGCTTTTGCAGTGAAATAAGATGTAATCTGTTGACAAAAGTGGTTCTGAAAAATGGAAAATTAAAGTTAAATAAAACATAAATAAAACAAGGGCACCTGTTATGCAAAACAGTGGTGGCAACTAGTGCGGTCGCACCGGGCCCCGTGCTTCAGGGTGCTTTTGAGCTGAAACTTCACAGACACATTCTGGGGACACCCAAGACCAATATTATTTATTGTAATCATGATTAATCACATCCAAAATAAAAGTTGTTGTTTACAGAATATATGTGTGGGTACTATGTATATTGAGTGAGTGAGTGAAGTGACATGTGGCCAAGTATGGTTACCCATACTAGGAATTAGTGCTCTGCATTTAACCCATCCTAAGTGCACACACACAGCAGTGAACAGACCCCCTTCACTTTTTTCAATTTTGTTATATTGCAGCCTGATACTAATTGTTTACATTTTTTCCCTCATTAATCTACACTCCGTACTTCATAGTGACAAAGTGAAAACAGAAGAATGAATTTTAGAAATGTCTGTAAATGCATTAAAAAGAAAAAACTGAAACATATTTACACAAGTATTCAGACCCTTTGCAACAACTCTTGAAATTTAGCTCAGGTGCCTCCCATTTCTCTTGATCATTGCTGAGATGTTTCTACACTTTGATTGCAAACATGTAAGAATCATAAACTTTTGTTGGTCACATATTTTCAGCAATAATCCAACAGCCAATGAAAAAAAAAGCTGATGGAAACCAGGCTGATGTTAACTTTTGGGCTGGCCTAAAAATATGTCATCACTACAGCACTCTATATAGATGACCTGAAAGCAAATAGACCTGACTAGAGGCCAAAAAAAAAAAAGATTTTACAAGGTCTTTGGCTTGCAGTTGTAAAAAACTGTTTTTCTGTAAATCATATGCTTTATCCTGAACTGAAATAGATTTGACTGATGAGACTGAACCACTGAAGTCTGATTCTTCCATACATCCTTCATTATTATGAATTATAAACAAATAATAGGCTGATTTCACTGTTCTAATCCATCATACTCTTAAGCTATTTATTCTCTGGATGACAGTAATTGCCAAAACCATGTAAGCTGTGAGTTACTGAAGATGTATTTGACCTTTTATTAACTAATAGCTTGTACAGCAAGCCTAAATGCAGAACATTTCATTGTACATTTATGAATAAGTTAAATAATAATAATTGTCAATTAAGGATCACATTATGCAGAGACCTTTAATAAATGCTAATACACAAATGTCACTGATCAGCAATAAACCTTAGAGAGCTACTGACATTTCGCTCGGTCATTAATAGGAGCTCACTTAAATTTGAGATGCATTAAGGCTACAAACAGAGTGAGTCATGAGGAATATTTCACAAGTAAAACTTTGGCAGGATAAGGGGCTGAAATCAATGCAGCCGCCCAGCGTGCTCAGGAAACAGTCGTCTCTGTGACACATGCTCTATTTCTAAACTCTCAGCAGGTAGTCAGGGAACTCGGTCTGTCGTCTCAGCACCATGGTCATCCGTCATGCTGCTTTAATTGGCCGCTTGTTCCCATTTACCGTAACATTTATTTTCCCGAGCCCGGGGGAGGAAGATGCAATTTTGAGACTGAAACATGTTAGACCCTGATAAAAGCCCATGTGACTCATAGTTTATGAAATAATTCGCTGGTGTCTGAGCAGAGAATATTTGATCGGCCTGTCATTCTGGATGCTGAGACAGTATGTTTGTTGTGCAGCATTCACATGACACTGGGAGAAAAAGAAAGATTAAAAATATTACAAAGAAATGGCAAGTAACACATTGAATTAAACGTGAAATTTTGAATTTGAAAAACTATGTACACCAATCATCTTTTTATTTACTGTTTCAAAAATGATTTTTTTGTTGTTTTGTTTTGTTTTTGCTTTTGCAGTGAAATAAGATGTAATCTGTTGACAAAAGTGGTTCTGAAAAATGGAAAATTAAATAAAACATAAATAAAACAAGGGCACCTGTTATGCAAAACAGTGGTGGCAACTAGTGCGGTCGCACCGGGCCCCGTGCTTCAGGGTGCTTTTGAGCTGAAACTTCACAGACACATTCTGGGGACACCCAAGACCAATATTATTTATTGTAATCATGATTAATCACATCCAAAATAAAAGTTGTTGTTTACAGAATATATGTGTGGGTACTATGTATATTGAGTGAGTGAGTGAAGTGACATGTGG